ACCTGGTGCAGGAGCCAGGTGAGGGGGGGCTGTACCCCAACACCCCCAACCACCCCATCCACCCTTAACATCCCCCAGGGTGCTCAGCCTGGGGCTGGGGCCACAGGTCTGTCATGTGAGGAGGAACCCACATGCAAATGTATCCCCAATTAATGGTGTGCCCATGGGAGGATGTCCCCAAATAAAGGTGTCTCTCTGCACAGGTGTCCCCAAGGGAGGGTGTCTTCATGAGTGGTGTCTCTGTGCATGGGTGTCCCCACATAACAGTGTTCCCAAGGGAAGGTGTCCCTGTGTGGGGGCTCCCTGCCTGACTGTCCCCTGTCCCCCAGGTGACTACGAGGTGTCCATCAAGTTCAACGAGGAGCACATCCCTGACAGCCCCTTCATTGTCCCTGTCGCCTCCCACTCCGATGATGCCCGACGCCTCACTGTCACCAGCCTGCAGGTACTGGGGACAGCCCCTGTGAAACCCTGGGGCACCCCTGGGCCCGCAGATGCCCTCTGGGTCCCCAGGTCACTCTTGGGCTGCTCTGAGCCCCTATTACTCTTGGGATGCCCACTGTATGTCACCTTTGGGTCTGCTGTGGCACCCTTGGACCCTCTGGGGCCACTTCTCTCTCCCTCTGTGCCAGCCTTGGGACCCCCTCTGGTGCCAGTCTCACATCCCTTGTGTCACATTGCACCCCTGTGTCACCCTTGGGCCCCATGGTTCCCCCTGCCCCACTGCCCCCCAGCCGTGTCCCCCCCATTCCCTGGGGTGAACCAGCTGGCATCATTCACGATGTCCCCCTGTCCCCCCTGTCCCTGATGCCACTGTGGTGTCCCCACAGGAGACAGTGGCAGTGAACCAGCCAGCGTCCTTCGCGGTGCAGCTGAACGGGGCGCGCGGCGTCATCGATGCCAAAGTGCACACACCAGCAGGGGTGGTGGAGGAGTGCTACGTGTCCGAGCTGGACAGTGGTGAGGGGACGCGGGGACACCGCGGGGACACCGGGTCTGCAGATGTGGGGTGCTGGGCACAGGGTGCAGGACACGGGGACATGTGATGTGGGGACATGGGGCTTGAGAGCATGGGGACAAGGGGTATGGGGACAGAGTGAGACACAGGGACACAGGACATGGTGACATGATGGCATCCTCCAGACTAGTACACACTGGGGTTCTTGTGTGGGGTGTGGAGACACAGGGATGTGGGGACACAGGACACAGGAGTATGGGGACGTGTCTGTGCCCCCCTGATATGGTTCCTGCTGTGCAAGAACAGGGGTGTGGGGACATGGGGACACAGGGTCATGGGGACACAGGGACGCGGTGACACGGTGACATGTCTGTGTCCCCCAGACCGGTATGCCCTGGGGTTCCTGCCGCGTGAGAACGGAGTCCACTCCATCGACCTGCGCTTCAACGGGCGCCACGTGCCCGGGAGCCCCTTCAACATCCGCGTGGGCGAGCAGAGCCAGGCCGGGGACCCCGGGCTCGTCACTGCCTTTGGGCCGGGCCTCGAGGGTGGCCGCACAGGTGACACTGCTGTGGAGACAGGGACAGGGCTGTGGGAGGGGGGTGGGGAGAGACACGGCCATGAAATGGTGATGGGGACAGAGCCACGATGGAGATGTGGCCATGATGTTGCCATGATGGGAACGTGGCCGTGGATGGTGACCACAATGGTGTCCTGGTGTCCTCCCCGTGATGACATCCCCATGTCCATGTCCCAGGGGTGCCCTCAGAGTTCCTGGTGAAGACAGCCAATGCAGGGGCAGGAGCACTGGCTGTCACCATTGATGGCCCTTCCAAAGTGGAGCTGGACTGTACTGAGGTCCCTGAGGGACACCGTGTCACCTACACCCCGATGGCCCCTGGCAACTACCTCATCTCCATCAAGTATGGTGGCCCCCACCACATCGTGGGGAGCCCTTTCAAGGCCAAGGTCACTGGTATGAACTGGGGGGACATGGGGGTGAGAGGGGCCATGGGTATTGGGAGGGACATGGGGGCAGGGAGGAACATGGAACTACTGGGGACACGGGAATTGAGTGGGACATGGGGACATCATGGGCAGCCCTTTCAAGGCCAAGGTCACTGGTACAGATGGGGTGGGGGCAGACACAGGGATGGGGAGCACGGATAAGGGAGACTGGGGGAGGAGAACACAGGAGTCCCCAGTGTGGGGTGACAAGGGGTCAATGATGGGCATGATGGAGGGCTGCAGGAGGGCCACCCTGCAGGACCCCCGGGTGACATGATGGGAGGAGGTCCTGGGGGTGACGTGGTGTAGGAACCCCAGGATGGCATGATGGGGGTCCCAGGGGGAGGGGGGTTGTCCTGGAAAGATGTCCCCCAGCACGGTGTGATGGGGGTGTCCCTGGGTGGGGGCTGACTGTGTCCCCCGGTACTCCCCAGGCCCGCGGCTGTCGGGCGGGCACAGTCTGCACGAGACCTCGACAGTGCTGGTGGAGCCGGTGGTGAGGGCGGGCTCGCGGGGCCCCCCCGCCTTTGGGGGGGTCACCAAGGCCCCGTCAGACGCTGGGCAGGTGGTGGCCCGGGGGCCAGGGCTGGCAGCCGCCCGCCTAGGCCACAAGAACCACTTCACCGTGGACTGCAGCAAGGCCGGTGAGGGACGCTGGGGGTCCTGGGGGTTGGGGCGGCTGGGAGGGGGCATGGGGCTGGAAGGGCAGGTGGGGGCTCAGCAGAGCGCTCCAGGGCTCCTAGGGGAGTCCTGTGAGGGCTGGGAGGAGAAGTGGTGGGGCTGTGGGGTGTTCAGGGAATTCTGGGGAGTCTTCAGAAAGGATGGGGAGCGTTAAAGGCGGGCCTGGGGGCCCTGGGAGGGGAGGGGGTGGGTGAGTGGGGCAGTCTGGTGGAGGGTCTGGGATGCAGGGGGGAAGTTTGGGGCGACCCTGGGGTGTCAAGCTCAGGGTTCACCCTGCCCCTGTCCCCCCAGGCACAAACATGCTGCTGGTGGGGGTGCACGGTCCCAAGGCCCCGTGCGAGGAGGTGCACGTGAAGCACGAGGGGAACCGCGTGTACACGGTGACCTACAGCGTGCGGGAGCGCGGCGAGTACGTGCTGCTGCTGCGCTGGGGGGACCGCGACGTCCCGGGGAGCCCCTTCCGTGTCACTGCGGCCTGAGGGCCCCGGCGTGCGGGGGTCGCGGGCCTGGCAATAAAGCACTGGGAGAGGAGCAGCGGTCCGAGTGGTGACTGGGGGCTGGGGACACTGGGGAAGGACACTGCGTCTAGGTGTGGCAAGACACCGCAATTGTGGGGTGTGCAGAACGGCACAGAACGGTTTGGGGGTGGCCCTGGGGGTCTGGGGCAGGATGGTGGGGCCTGGGGGTTCCAGAGCAGGACATCCTGGTCCTGGGGGGTGGGGGAGATTCTGTGGGCTGCAGGATGGGATTACGAGGCCCCGGAGGGAGATGGTGGGGTCCGGAACAGAACACTGGAGGCGGCCTGGGAGGGTCTGGAGCAGAGTGCCCGACTCCTGTGGGGGTCCAAGGGGGTTCCACGGCAGAACAGGGGTATCCTGGGGGCCCGGCGGGGTTCAGGGGGTCCAAGGGGATTCCATGGCAAACAGCGGCAGCCTGGAGGGCCCGGGGGATTTCAGGGGGTCCAAGGGGATTCCATGGCAAACAGCGGCAGCCTGGAGGGCCCGGGGGATTTCAGGGGGTCCAAGGGGATTCCATGGCAAACAGCGGCAGCCTGGAGGGCCCGGGGGATTTCAGGGGGTCCAAGGGGATTCCATGGCAAACAGCGGCAGCCTGGAGGGCCCGGGGGATTTCAGGGGGTCCAAGGGGATTCCATGGCAAACAGCGGCAGCCTGGAGGGCCCGGGGGATTTCAGGGGGTCCAAGGGGATTCCATGGCAAACAGCGGCAGCCTGGAGGGCCCGGGGGATTTCAGGGGGTCCAAGGGGATTCCATGGCAAACAGCGGCAGCCTGGAGGGCCCGGGGGATTTCAGGGGGTCCAAGGGGATTCCATGGCAAACAGCGGCAGCCTGGAGGGCCCGGGGGATTTCAGGGGGTCCAAGGGGATTCCATGGCAAACAGCGGCAGCCTGGAGGGCCCGGGGGATTTCAGGGGGTCCAAGGGGATTCCATGGCAAACAGCGGCAGCCTGGAGGGCCCGGGGGATTTCAGGGGGTCCAAGGGGATTCCATGGCAAACAGCGGCAGCCTGGAGGGCCCGGGGGATTTCAGGGGGTCCAAGGGGATTCCATGGCAAACAGCGGCAGCCTGGAGGGCCCGGGGGATTTCAGGGGGTCCAAGGGGATTCCATGGCAAACAGCGGCAGCCTGGAGGGCCCGGGGGATTTCAGGGGGTCCAAGGGGATTCCATGGCAAACAGCGGCAGCCTGGAGGGCCCGGGGGATTTCAGGGGGTCCAAGGGGATTCCATGGCAAACAGCGGCAGCCTGGAGGGCCCGGGGGATTTCAGGGGGTCCAAGGGGATTCCATGGCAAACAGCGGCAGCCTGGAGGGCCCGGGGGATTTCAGGGGGTCCAAGGGGATTCCATGGCAAACAGCGGCAGCCTGGAGGGCCCGGGGGATTTCAGGGGGTCCAAGGGGATTCCATGGCAAACAGCGGCAGCCTGGAGGGCCCGGGGGATTTCAGGGGGTCCAAGGGGATTCCATGGCAAACAGCGGCAGCCTGGAGGGCCCGGGGGATTTCAGGGGGTCCAAGGGGATTCCATGGCAAACAGCGGCAGCCTGGAGGGCCCGGGGGATTTCAGGGGGTCCAAGGGGATTCCATGGCAAACAGCGGCAGCCTGGGGGGCCCGGGGGGTCAGGGGTCCCGGCCAGCGTGGTCCGGGGTTCCTGCGGGGCCCGTGCCGTCCGGTAGGGGCCGCTGTGCATGGGAGCGCCCCGCGTCCCCTCAAGGGCACGGCGCTTTGCGCATGCGCGCGACGCGGGGCGGGGCCGGCGGTAGGGGGTGGGACGAGAGCACGGAGGGGCGTGGCCAGCAGGGGCGAGGCTCCCCCCACGTTGGTGGGCGGGGCTTCGCGCGTTGCCGGGCAGCGGCGGGCGGGGCGCTCCGCGAGCGGCGGCGGCGGCGGCGGAACCCGGAAGCGGCGGCGGGTTCCGGTCGGTCCCGGCCGGTCCCGAGCCCCACAGCCGCTCCCGGCGGCGCGTCCCCACCTCGCCGGCTCCGGCAGCGGCTTTCCCAGGGTCTCTGTCCCGGTGGGTTCCGTTCCCAGCGGGCCCCGGGCATGGCGGGCCGCGGGAAGCTGATCGCGGTGATGGGCGACGAGGACACGGTGACCGGGTTTCTGCTGGGCGGCATCGGGGAGCTGGACAAGCACCGGCGGCCCAACTTCTTGGTGGTGGAGAAGGAAACAAGCCTGGCGGAGATCGAGGAGACGTTCCGGTGTGTGGGGAAGGCGGCCCGGGAGGGCTCGGGGGGCAGTAAGGGTCGGGGCTGCCTGAGGGGTCCCGCCGGTGGCCGTGCGAGTCCCGAGGGGGTCTCGCAGGGGGATGCAGGCAGGCTCTGGGGGTCGCGGGGCTCCTGGAGGGGAGGGAGAGGGCTGGCTGGAGTCTCGGGCCGGGTGCCGGGAGGGCTCGGGGCACCGGGGCCCCGCGGCCGGCGCTCTGTGCCCCTCACTCGCCCTTTTTCCCGTTGGCAGGGGTTTCCTGGCGCGGGAGGACGTGGGCATGATCCTGATCTCGCAGGCGCTGGCGGAGCAGATCCGGCCGGCGGTCGCAGCCCACGCCCGGGCGCTGCCCGCGGTGCTCGAGATCCCCTCCAAGGACCACCCCTACGACCCGGCCCGGGACTCGGTGCTGCGCCGCGCCCGGGGGCTCTTCGCACCCGATGAGCTGCGATAGAGCCCCCAGGAGCCCCCGCCCCTCCCCAAATCCCCCCAAATCCCCCTCTAAGCTCCCCCAAGCAGTTCCCCAATACCCCCCGTGTGTGCAAGCCCAAACTGTCCCCAGCGCCCGTGGCCTCTTTGCGCCCCCCATGGGCGACGGGCACCCCCAGACAGTCCCCGGCACCTTCCCAGCCACCCCAAACAGTCCTCCACCACTCCCCCAGCTTCTTCACCCTCAAACATCTGTAGCCCTCTCGGGTACCCCAGATCAGCCCCAGGCATCCCATGGGGTCATAAGCCAGGCCTGGGGGTCTCCACCCCAGGGAAACCCACCCAGGGGCCTCCAGCCCACCTGGGGCTGTTGTGCCCCATGCTTGGGGGTCCCCAGCCCATCCCAGGCTGCTTCTGGGGGGTCCCTGGCATTCCCAGGGTGTCCTTCTGGTGCTGGGGGGCTGTGGTTGCCCCCTGGGTCTGAGGGTGACACGGGGAACCTGGTGTGTCTCTGAGGGTGCCTGGGGCTGCCACAGGGGCCCTGAGGGTGACCCGTGACTATGTCCCAGCCGTGTCCCGTGATGGGGAAGTGCCACCACTGTATCCTGCTGAATCCTGCCAGGTCCTGCCTGTAGGCAGGGAGGGACACTGTGGGGGAGGAAAGGAACACCCCAAGGACACTGGGAGTAGTCTCTGTGACCTTGTCACCGTTCCCCCAGCTCCTCCCCAGCCTCCTCAGCCCCAGCAGAACCTGGGGGGATGGTTATTTATTGTCCTTCCCCAGTGCCCCTGTCATTTGTGTCCCCCATGTGTCTTCCTGCCAGTGTCCCCAACATGTGCTGACACCACTCACTGTCTGCTCTGCTCTGCTCTGTGGGGTGCTGTGAGGGATGGGGGGAAGACAGAAATGGGGGGGGACTTGGGGACGTGGCCCATGGACAGAGACATGGAGGGTTCAGGGCACAGGAGCACCCTGAGACTCCCCCATAACCCCCACCCTCGGGGGGACAGCAAGGGTGAGCCCCCCGTGCCCCACAGGGCCTGAGGGCATTGGTCTGAGGGCCTGAGGGCTCCGTCCACCCAGCTCTGCCCCCTTGTTTCTGTTCCCAGCCTCCTTGTCCCCATGGCCCCCCACCTCCTCAGCAGCCCCTGCTGTGCCCCTGCAGACAGGGGTGACACCTGGAGGGGCATTGAGGGGAAACCCACATCTCTGGGGGGCCTGGGTGGTGGCCGTGCTGGGGACATGCAGTGGGCGAGGGTGGGCACGGGTGGGCATGGACACAGTTGTCACAGATGTGCCACACGCAGGTTTCTCACACAGGTGTCTCACACATACCACAGACACACACACACACATTTATCACACACAGAATCCCAGAACAGTGTGGGTGGGAAGGGCCCTCTGGTGATGATCCAGCTCAGCTCCTGCCCGGGCAGGGTCACCTGGAGCAGTTGACACTTGTCCAGGTGGGTTAGGATGTCTCCATGGAGGGACACCCCTCACCCTGCTGGGCAGCTCTCCCAGGACTTGGCCTTTCCATGGTGGAGGGAAGCTGTGCCTTGTGCTGAGCTGGGACTGTTGGAGCTCAGGGCCTGACTTGTCCTGTCGCTGGGCAGGACGGGGCTGGGTCTGGCACCATCCTCATAACCTGGGGAGGTCTGGGGTTGGTGGGATCCCCCCTCAGATATTTGTATGGATTGGGGCAATCCCCTCAGTTGAGGGATTAGTGTGGACATGTGAGCAGCAGTCCAAAGCTGCACGTGGACCCAGGAGCCCTGGCAGCCCGTCAGGCACACAGGGGGCATTGCCAGGAGTAGGGGCACATTGAAATGGCTCCAGGCCGTGCAGGTGACTCAGAGTGTGGTGACTGGGGCAGGCAAATGGGACGTGGAGCAGCAGGACGTGGCGTGGCAGCTCAAGCAGCAGGATTTGTAGGAGGGCACAGCCACCCCCCTGACTCTTGAGGTGTGCTCTCCTCAGGTGGGGATTGTTTTTTTCACTTGTCCAACTTGATTAGACCCAGCAGTAGTTCACACACTGACAAAAGCCATAGCTGGCAGGAGTGGGGAGGAGCATATAGAGCTCCCCAAGAAGCACTGGGCTGCAGGGAGTGTCTGAGCCTACTGTTGCTGCTGGAGGACAGTGGAAACAGCACTGCATGCAGTGTGAACAGGCGGGGGATCTTACAGGGGAGGTGGGGAGGCTGAGGATTATCAAGGAGTGCCAAGGAGAAACAGACTGGGGGAGTTGCACCCTTCCATCCAGGAGAGAAATGCAGTGCATGAAAGCTCAGCAAGAGTCAGAGCAGCCCTGGCCCTCTTGCCATCAGGCAAGAGGAGACCTAAAAGCTGGGGAATGGAAACAGGTCCCTGCTTAGGGAGGTAGCAGAATCCCCTCCTGGCTTCCCTCGCCTTCCCAGGTGCCCTTACAGAACTGATACGAGGTCCTGGATTTTGAGAGAGATAGTTGAGAGTGGAGAAGAAAGTCTACTTGGTGGGTGTCCCAGATCGGTGCAGTCAGTCAGACAGATCACAGCTACAGTTATTAAAGAAAAAAGAAAGAAGGGTATTTGTGTGTGATTCACTTCTGAACGGGGCTGAGGACCTGTATGCCAAGCAGACCCATCCCACAGTCTGCTGCCTCCCTGAGGCCCACGCAAGGGACATTGCTGAGAGACTCCCTGCTCTAATTCAGCCCACCAGTTGCTGCCCACTGCTCATTGTCCTGATGAGAAAAGTACCAGGGTAACAAAAAAGGACTTCAAGGCACTGGCTTGCCTGGTTGAAGGGACAAGAGCACAAGGTACAAGAGGTGGTGGTCTTGATTCCTTTGGTAGTAGGGATGAATGCCAAAATGAACAGGAAAACCCATGGGATCAAAAAGTAGCTTTAAAGACTGGTGCCATTGGTGGAATTTTGGATTTTTTGAACATGAGGTGGTGTGTATAGCACCAGGCTGGAGGTAGATGTGTTCATCTCTAGAAGAGGCAAAAGGGTTCCAACCCGTGAATTGGCAAGGCTGATTGAGAGGGCTTTAAAGTAGGTTTGAAGGGAGAGGGGGATGAGAGCACACTCCCTAGAAATGAAGCTGGGGGCAGCAGGCCAGTGCTGGGGAGACACTGATGGCACAGCTAAAGTGCATCTACACCAATGCAGCAGTGTGGGCAACACAGGAGGAGCTGGAGGCCATGGTGCAGCAGCAAAGCTCTGATGTAGTTGCTGTCATGGAACTGTGATGAGATGACTCCATGACTGGAATGTTGCAGTGGATGGCTCCAAGCCCTTCCGAAGGAGCAGGTGAGGCAGGAGATGTGGTGTGATGACTCTGTACATTAGGGAGGGTTTTGGCTGTCTGGAGCTCGGTGGCAGTGATGAAAAGGCCGACTGGTCATGGGTGAGAATCAAGGGGAAGGCTGGCAAGGCAGATATCTGGTGGGGGGTCTGTTCTAGACCTCACAACCAGCATGAAGAGGTAAGTGCTGGCTGATGTTTTGTGGTAGCCAGCCCTTGTTTTTGTGGAGGTCTTTAACCTGCTAGATGGCTCATGGAGAGGAGACAGACTGAGAGGCTCCTGGAATGTGTGGAAGAGAACTTCTGAGTCAGTAGCTGAGCAGCCCACCAAGGGTGGGGCCCTGCTGGAGCTGCTGTTTGCAGACTGAGAGGTGCTGCTGGAAGATGTGGTGGTTGGAGCCATCTTGGGCACAGTGACCATGAAATGAAGGAATTTTCAGTCCTCCGTGAAGTAACAAGGTGAGTCAACAAAACCTCTACACTGCACTGTCAGAGGGTGAATTTCAGCCAGTTTGGGACACTGATTTGGACAGTCCCTTGGGAAGCAGCCCTTAAAAACAAAGGATCCCAGGAAGGCTGGGTATACATCAAGAAGGAAACCTTTAACTTGCAGGAGCATCTTGTCCCTATGTGCCTAAAAATGAGCTGGTGGGGAAGAAGTGGTTGTCCCCCTGAACTGGGCATTGGTGAGGCACACCTCAAGTCCTGTATCCAGTTCTTAGCCCCTCAGTTCAAGAAGGACATTGAGGGGCTGGAGTGTGTCCAGAGAAGGCAACATAGCTGGGAAAGGCCTAGAGGGTGAATCCTGTGAGGGGCAGCTGAGGGAGCTGGAGAGGCTCAGCCTGGAGAAAAGGAGGCTCAGGGGGAACCTTCTCACTGTCCAGAACTCCCTGACAGGAGAGCAGAGCCAGGGGAGGCTCAGCCTCCCAGGCAACAAGGGACAGGACAAGAGGGAGCGGCCTCAAGTTATGCCAGAAGAGGTTCAGGGTGGAGTTCAAGAAATTCTTTATGGAATGGTGGTCAGGCATTGGAAGGGGCTGCCCCATGGAGTCCCAGTCCCTGGAGGTGCCCAAGGAACAACTGAACATAGCACTCAGTGGTCTGGTCTGGTGGACAAAGTGGAGACCAGGCACAGAGTTGGACTCAATGGTCCAGGAGGGCTTCTCCAGTGTAACTGATTCTGTGGTTCTGTGATTTGAGATATTTGTATGGATTGATGGAATCCACTCTCAGCTTTCTCCAGACTAACCAGGCAAACCTCCTGCAGTCTCTCCTCATCAACAGACATGCTCCAGACCCTAAATCATCTTTGTGGCCTCCTTGACCCTCTCCAGCAGCTCCTTGTCTTTCCTGAGTTGTGGAGCCCAGAACAGCTTCACGTGGGCAGGGCAGAGGGGCAGGATCACCCCCCTGCCCTGCTGGCCACACTCTGTCCAACACCCCTGTGATGTCCCACCCAAAGGGGAAGGGAGAACCTGGCACCACAGATGTGCAGGAAGAATTTAATATCTTTGTTAGTGACAAGGATGAAGGGAGGGAGTGCACCCTCAGCAGGTTTGCAGGTGACACCAAGCTGAGTGGGGCAGGTTGCCCCCTGAGGGACCTGGACTGGCCCAAGTTGTGGCCTGTGAGAACCTCATGATGTTTGACAAGACCAAGTGCAGATGCTGTGCCTGGGGAAACTTTGGAATCCATCCAGGCTTGGAATGAGCAGATGGATGAGCCCTGGGAGAAGGACTTGGGGGTGCTGGTGGATGGGGAGCTGGACATAACCCAGCCCAGAACCCTCCTGTCCTGGTCTCATCCCATAGCGTGGGCGGCAGGGGATTCTCTTGGTTGTGCTGTGTGAGGGAGATCAGGCATGCTGACTGCCTTCCATCCAGAGAGCAGCAACTGTATTTTCCCTTATAATTTCATACTGTTATCTTTTTACCCTCAGCCATCCTCCCACAAAGTACTTATGAACTTATGGAGGAAAAAATGTAAACTTTCATTTCTCAAAGTATTTAATCAAAGTCAGGTGCCTTTCTGAAATAGATATGTAAAATAAACATATGTAAAAGATGAATGTAGGTGAACCAGCAGACCGCTGTCCAGGCTCTGGGAGGGAGCTGGAGGAACACCTGGGGACTTCCCTGGCAGAACTGTGGTGAAAGATGCCTCTCGAGGTTCTTTGGCCCTGCTGCTGATCAGGGACCAGGCGGGACTTTCAGCCTGAGCAGCTGCAGCAGCCACCGAGCAGGGCAGTGATGGCTTTGTGCTTCCAGAGGGACCTGCGGGCTCCGGCCCATGGCCTCTGACCACAGCTCTGCTGCTCTCGACTACGACGCTGCCGCTTCTGCTGCTGGCAATTCCCGTGTGGGTGGCAGCAGTGTCCAGCCAGGGGCCTGGCCCGGCATCGTCAGCGTCCAGGCCACCTGGGAGAACGGCACGTGGCACATGTGCTCAGGTGTCCTCCTCAGCTCCCAGTGGGTGCTCACGGTCGCACACTGCTTCGCCAGGGCCGGGTAAGAGACAGCAGGGACAGAGATGTCCCCAGAGCACGGGCAGGTGCCCAGCTCACAGCAGAAGGACGGGAAATGCTGGGCTGCTGCAGCCCCTGGCTCGGCTCCCTGTCAGCCCTCTGTCCATCTGCTCCCCAGGGGTGTCTCCACATGGGATGTGGTGATGGGGGCCACAGATCTGAGCCAGCCGGGCACTGAGGCTGTGGTGAGACGCATCCAGAGGCTCCTGGTGCACCAGCACTACGTGCCTGCCACGGCCAGGAACGACATTGCCCTGGTGGAGCACACACAGCACAGCCTGTCCGCAGTCCACCCCTCCCTTCCCCACAGCAGCCCCCACAGTCCCTGAGCCATAACATCCAGCTGGGCTGCGTGCCCGACACCTCGCTCAGGGTCTCGGAGCTGAAATCCTGCTACATCGCCGGCTGGAACTTTGCCAGAGGTGAGTTCCCAACAGCACGTGTGCTCCGAGGGCGAGCTGGGCACCCCGGGGACACGGGCTGGGCACAGACAGAGTCCGGGCGCAGGGCGGCAGCGGGGCCGGGCTCGGAGCAGCCCGGGCTGGGGAAGGAGTCCATTCCTGGGGAGGGCATGCTGTGGAACGGGATCAGCTGTGAGGTCCCTGCTCACGAACAATTCCTGCTGGCCCTGGGGTGGCTGCCCCTGGACCCCTGGAGGTGTCTAAGGCCCGGTTGGACAGGACTTGGAGCAACCTGGGACAGTGGAAGGTGTCCCTATCCATGGAAGTGGGTGGCCTTTATGGTCCCTTTCAAACCAAACCATTCCATGATTCCATGATGTTTTAGAGTGTGTGTGTATCCAGCTCTCTGGAATGCAGCATCTTGTGCACAGACACGCACACATACAAGAGCCATGGCCACATCCAAAAAGCTGGGACAGAACCAGCCCCTGGGTGTGAGCCCCACCTGTGTCAGCTGTACAGACCTGGAAGGAGAAACCTCCTGTGCTCAGCAGCCCCTGGGATCTGGCTGCTCTGGGGCAGAATGGGGACAGCAGCCCAGGGATGGACAGCAGAGGTCATGGGCGGACTGAGGCAGCACTGGCTCAGCTGGGAGCAGGCTGCCTGGCCTGTGGCTTTTAACCACCTGCCTCCTTACAGCAGCAGTGCAGGGAGGATGCCATCTCATAGCTTTGTAAAAAACATCCTTTAGTGTTTGCTTTCTGCAGCAGGTACCACTACAGCACCTGGGCAGGATCCCTCCTGCAGGTCCAGGATGGCTCACTTCTCCTAGGCAGCTCTGTCCTGAAGGAGCAGTAGAAATGAGCCACCATCCATATGGAATCATGTGGATTCTCCCATCCCTCTCCTGAGTGAAGTGTGCAGCAGCGAGGGCCAAGCCAATGAAGATCCTGCCCAGGTAGGCTCCCACAAGAAGGGAAGAGGCCCAGCTGCCCATCACAACAGCTCTAGGGCATGAGAAGCATCACTGTCCTCCATGCAGGCCCCAGAAGTCCAGAGCCAAGGGGAAAACAGGCTCAGGGTCCAGCCTAGGCAGATGAGGACTCCTCTTCAGTGCAGCTCTTCCCTTTATCTGACAAATCCTTGCTCGTGTTCTGCAGATCAAAGCTCTGGAAAGGAGCAGGACAAGGAACTGCTGAGAAATGACACAGACTGCAACAACTGTGTCTGCTGTGGAGGCTCTTTTAGACTCCTCCTAGGCAGTGAGAGCTCTTGTGATGGCTCTCACTTCCCCCCTCCCAGCCCAGACTGAGCAGCACGCAAAGCCCAGCAGAGGGCAAAGCTTCCCGTGCTGCAGTTTCCCCGCTTTGCCACAGGGGAAAAGGGCAGAACTGCTCATCCGACAGGACTCAAGACAGAGCAGGGACAGAGTCTTCCCTACCTCCAGCTCCCGCAGGACCTCGTCCATGAAGTCGCCTGAGTGCTGTTTGTAAGCCACGGCCAGTCTGATGGCATCGTTGAAGAGCTGGTGGGAAGGACAAGGCTCGTCACTCACAGGATGGGGGACATGGGCATTGGGTTTCTGTAGCAGATGGACACTGTTCCCACATCCCAGGGGAAAAAAAACCCTCTGCAGCTCTCCATAGCCACCAGCCACTCACGTGGAGCTGAAATGATGGACCATTTCCTGCTCTCTGTGCCCACAGCAGCCCCCATGTCCCTGGGCTGCCAAGGGCTCTCGTGGACACCAAGCCCAGCAGCCAAACACCCATCTCACCTTCACCACGTTGGTGCCATCGGCAGCAGACACAAAGTAAAAGGGCAAACTGAACTTCCGGGCAAAGTTGAAGCTTCTCTGGGTCACCTTCATATCCGCTGAGGCAGACAAAGAAGACATGGTCAGTTAGACATGGCAGGAGGTCCAGAAGGTGGGTGTCTTCTGTGTGACAGATGAGCCACAACCCTGCTAAGCCAGATGAGCCACAACCCTGAGACAGCAATCACGAAGGGCTGGCTGGCATTCCCCATGGAAGGGAACCTTCCAGCCTCCTGCAGGGCCAGGTGAACAGTTCTGTCAGCAGGTACATTGAGACACTTCAGCACAGAGGAGTCTGTGCAGGCTGAAGGAGCACCAAGGCCACCCCTGACTGATCCAGGGAAGCCACAGAACAGCTTTTGCTTCCTTTTGCTGCCATTTTTGACCAGGTGCTACTCCAATCTCTTTTGGGTTCTTGATGGATAGAATAGGCAGTGTGGTAAGGAGAGAACTGGAAGAAAAATGCTTGAATAAAACTGAAATGGATGAAATTTGCACTTTTATTTCCTGATGACACGGGACAAGCACCTGTAAAGCAGCAGCTGAGGTCAGTATAGGACCCAGCCCTGGGGGACTGAGGAAATCCTCTGGACCCAACAGACAAAGGACATTGGTTCTCAGTAAGGACAGGAGTGAATCCCACCACGACCCTGGCAAGCTGGCAGCAGAAGACACACTCACCATCAATCTTGTTGGCCACTACAATGCACGGGATCTCTGGGCGGAATTCCCTCAGCTCCTTGTACCAGCTGTTCAGATTCTTGTAGGTGACCTTCCGCTGCACATCAAACACCTTCCAAGAGAGAACCACCTATCCCGGGGCCAGCCCAGCACGGCTGACCGACCCAGGACAGCTCTGACCCATCTGTGGGGCCAACCCAGGACAGCTCTGACCAACACAAGGACAGAATCCAGAATGTTCCCAGGAAGACACGACGAAGGGAACTGGACGTTATTAGAAAGGGTAAAAGAGAAAGGGACAGTATCACCAAGCCCAGCCAGCAGGAAACAGCCCTGGATGTCCTTTACACTGTCCTGTGTCCTGTGCAAGTCCCTGCCACCCACACAGGGAGCTGGCACTGGGAACAGCTTGTGCCAAGCAGGATCAGATCCTCTGTTTGGACAACTAAAGCACCAGTGACAATCACTGGTGGAACAGTGGAAAGTGAGGGCGACAGGACAAACCAGGAGATCTGAGCAGGAGAGGAGCCAACAAAACTAGCAACAGGGGCAAACATAAGGACATTGAGAAGACAGCAGAGCCAGGGGATAGAGGAAAAGGGTTACCAGGAGAGACAGACCAGAGCTAACCAGGTCCATCTACAGGGGGTTTATCTGGTGAGAGAAGAAAGAACAATCCAGGAAAGTTTTTTAAGTGACTGGAAGAGACAAGGAACACACGGCAGTGTAACCGTAAAAGTAACACAAAGGCCAAGTGTTACTGAGACCATTCTGTGCCCAAATCCCACAGGTGCAGCTGAGACCCCCTCACCATGATGCAGGCATGGGCCTGGTGGTAGTAGGAGGCGTGCATGCTCCGGAAGCGCTCCTGGCCCGCTGTGTCCCAGAAGTCTGGAACACAAAAACAGCTCAGAATGACACAACTCACCGAGCTCTGTTTGTCCCACAACTCACACCCAGGAGGCAAAGCCCAGCCCACCTGCTCAGAGACACAAACTGAGCTTCACCTCACCAATCTGAAACACCTCAGGGTTAAGAAATTGTGCCAAACTGGGACCTTTCCTTACTGGGCTCAGCTGTGGGCTATGCTGGCACTGGCCATCAACAAAGGAGAAGCTACCAGTGACACGAGTTGTGTGGGACAGCAGGACCAAGACAGGCAGAAGTGCACAGAGCAGTTGCCATGTCTGGCACTCTGTCACTAGGGATGACAACGGGAAACTACCTAAAACTCCAGGAGCTGCTGGGCACTGCTGATTTCTGACCCAGTGATGGTCAGCCGGGGCCCTGCTGTGGGAAATGCTCCAGCTCCTCTTGCAGACACCTGACTCTGTTCTCCCAGGGGCAGGAATCATTCTGAAGTGCTGAAGGTAAGTCAGCCAGAAGCAAACAGGTCCCAGTCCATGAAGTTCTGTGTACACCAAGACATCATGGGGCAAACCTGGACATGGCCGTGCCTTTTACTGTTGGTGCAGCTCAGGTGGAGATCCCCCACCTCTCACTGGGTTTGTAGGTTCACATCTGGCTCTGGTTTGCTGTATAAATTGGCACAGCTTCAGTTAAGAATCTCAGTGTAGTCACACCTCTTGTCAGCTGGACCCAAGCATGGTGCTGTATCCGAAGCCAAATGAGCCAGTTTCCTTAGGGATTCCTTTGCACTGATACTGTGACTGGACTCTGTGTTAGACCTACCGGACAGTGACTTTCTTAAACTGCCCAAATACAGACCACATTTGCACTCACTGTCTGTGTCTCAGCAAAGATGTTGAGCAGTGTCAGCCCCAGCCCCAAGGAGCCATGACCAGTGACTCCATGCAGAGTCCAGCCAGACCATTCTTTATCCTCCGACTGTCCACGGATCCACTCAACCAACCTCCTCCAGCTCAGAGTCCAGGGCATCGTTATAAAGTGTGGGGGAACCGTGCCCCACACTTTACCAAGCCCAGGAGGATGATGGCAGTCACTTTGCCCCATCCACCAATGCTGCAGCCCCGTCCCAGGAGGGCACCAGATTTGTCACCATGCTGTCGTTTATCAAAACACGTAGCCGAGACCCAGAGCGAGGGGATCTGCCCTTCCCTGCTGCTCCCTCTGCCGTGGCACCCCATGTCCCCGGGCTGGCCGCACTCACCCACGCGGACCTCCTGGCCGCCCACCCGGGCGCGGTGCTGGTACAGCGTCAGGGCGAACGTGGAGAGCTGCTGGGGCTGGCTGCGCCGCGCTAAGGAGCCACCGTGAGGCCAGAGCCGCCGGGCCGCGCCCCGCGCGCCGCCGAGCCTGCCCGCCGCCCCGCTGCCAAGGATACAAGCCATCGAGCAGGAACCGCTCCAGCAGCCTGCGGAGAGAGCGAGCACGCGTCCCGTCAGCCGCGCCACCGGCTCCGCGGGACCCCCCGCACAACCCGCGGGACGCCCGCGCCCCACGCACTTGGACTTGCCCACGGCGCTGTCGCCCAGGCAGATGATCTTCACCGTCTCCTCAGCGCCGGCCGCGGCCTCATCGCGGGCGCCATCCGGGGCTTCCTCCCGCGCCGCCGCCCGGCCCTGCTCCTCCGCCGCCGTCGCCATGGCAGCGCCTGCGCGTGCCCGCTGCCGCGCGACGCTGGCGCTGCTCAAGCCGGACGCGGTGGCCCATCCGCTGGTGCGCGAGGTGAGCGCCGGGCCGGGCCGGGCCGGGCCGGGCCGGGCACAGCACGGCACAGCACAGCAGGCCTCGCCACGACCCCTTCCCCCAGCGCCGCCTCTTCCCGCAGGCCGTGCACGACGCCATCCTCCGTCACCGGTTCCTCATCGTCCGCGCCAAGGAGCTGCGCTGCGGCGCAGAGCAGAGCCGCCGCTTCTACCGGGAGCACGCAGGTACGAGCGGGGCGCAGGGCTGCCGGGGCGCCGGGCGTGCTGCCCGGGCCGGTGCCCACTCGGCCCGTGTCTCTCCGCAGGGCGTTTCTTCTACCAGCGGCTGGTGGAGTTCATGGCCAGGTGGGTGCCGCGGCTCGGCGCTGCCGTGGCCCGTGTGCGGGGGCTCGCTGCCATGTGCGGAGCTGGGAGGCTCTCGGGACCGCAGCCTGCTGTGACAGCTGTGGTGCCTGGCGGGCGGCACCCCGAAGGCGTGCGGGTCACCGCTGGGAGCAGGCCGGCAGTGCCGGCGCCGTGGCCTCGGTGCGGCGGTGGCACCGTGGCAGGGCAGGCCAGGGCAGCTGCACTGTGCAGTTTGTAAGGACGAATAACCTGTTTGTAATGAGCTCTTCATAATCTTTTCTCCTACTGTTCCTGGGCCCTTGCTGCAGTGGCCCCATGTGGGCTTACATCCTGGCCCATGAGGACGCTGTCCCTCTCTGGAGATCCCTGATGGGACCCACTAAAGTGTTCCGAGCCCGACACAGTGACCCAGACTCCATCCGAGGTGCCTACGGCCTTACGGACACCAGGAACACGACCCATGGCTCAGGTAGCCTAGCATTCTTGGATAGTTCTTGGGGAGGCAGGAGTGATGGTGCTTTGTCTGCCTTTGCTTTAGTTCTGGGGCTCCAAGTGAGCGACTTGTTCCCTTCTGCAGACCCCACGCGCACCTGGCCAGGTGCAGCCAAGCCAGGCACCTTTGGAGTCCAGCACGTGTTTGTGGTGGCAGACTGGCATCTCTCTCTCATTGCCTTTCCCTCTCTTTTTTCAGACTCCCCTGCCTCAGCCAGCAGAGAAATTGCCTTTTTCTTCCCCGAGTTCGACGAGCAGCGCTGGTACGAGCAGGACGAGCCGCGGCTGCGGCGGGGACAGCTGTTCTACAGCGCCCAGGAGCGCGTGCACCGCGTGCTCGGGGCACGGCCAGCACAGGTACCCGGGCAGGGCGTGCCTGGCTGGCCTGGCAGCCCCTGTGGGCGCCCTCCTGGGCAGCAGACACAGAGCTGTGCTGCGTTTCAGGGAGTGTGGGAGAGGGAAAGCAGCGTTGTGCTGCCTGGGATCAGATTATTGGTGTAACAGGCGGATGCTGGGCTGCTGTAGGAAGAGTTCCCCCTGCAGTGCTCATGCTGACAGTCTGGCCATGCAGCTCACTGGCCCCCTGAGTTTGTTTGGGTGTTAACAGGACAGGTGAGTTGGTCAAGGGCCAAGTGAAGGATGGGTTGCTTGTTCCAGATGGGATTGGTCTGGCTTTGCTGATGGGAAGCCTCAGATTCTCCCAGCTGGCTGTTCCCACAGTGCCTTAGGGAGAAAAGAAGAAGAACGTGAAGAAAAACATCAGCAGGGCAAGATGAACTGTCCTGTCCTTGCTCACCTGCAACTGGGCTGGGAGATGAGGAGCTTTGCCAATAGCTCTGCATGTGAGAGCACTTGGAGCCCTCAGTGTCCACAGCCCGCCTGTGTGCCAGGGCAGTTCTGTGTCCTTGGGAAGTGGGATGAACACTTTGAATTACCCAGATACGTGGTGGAACAATGACAGGGTGGTGCAGGAGGGCTCCGTTGGGAGGTACAGAGCCAGGTCCTGGTGGCTGATTTGTGTTTCTCTCTGTGATGCCGTGTGAGATGTGTTCCTGGACGGGGTTGCAGTCCATTTATGCTGTCTCCCTGTGGGCTCCTTGCAGTGCTGCCATTTTAATTACAGTGCCCTGTTGGAATTTCCTTTGGGCAGTCCCAAATGCTCGGGCTGGGGAAGGTGTGCTGTCCTTGGGGCAGGAAAGCTGAGCTGAGGTTCAGCAGAGCCCTGGTACATCACAGAGGCAAGGCAGGGACTCTCCAGGTGCTTCCAGAACCCTGTGAGGTGTTGGGTAGTGACTGACTGACTGACTCTGTGGTGGAAAGCACTGCCCGTGTTTGTGTTCCCTCTTCCTCCTGTCTGGCATCAAATGGTCATTGTTCTGTTCCAGGTACAGATCCAGGGATCTGCAGGACATCACTGCTGTCCCTGTCCTCAGCAGTGTCCAGAGTGGATCTGCTCAGGATCCTGTGTGTCTTCACACAGCTCTGAGAGCTGCTGTCCCCAGTGCTGTTGATGTTTTATTGATATTTTGTCAGTTGTTTTATTGATTCCTGGAGGTTTTGCTCAGATCTTTGTGTTTTTAGCTATTAAACTTTACTATTTTTCACCTTTCTTATTTTACGTTGTGCTTTCCTTTTTGGATATTTCTTGGGAATATCATTAACTGATAATTCCTGGCTCACACTTGCCATTTTTGAAGTTTTGGTCTTTTTTCCTACTCACTTGCAATGGTTACACTTGGGAAAAGGGCCTTTCTGAACATTGCCAATGCAGAGAACTCTGCCAGCAGGATTGTCACGGTGACACTGTCTCACAGGCACTGTGGTTTAGGTACCTGCTGGGTGGCACCTTGACATTGCCCTGGCCCTGAGGCTGTACCTGAGCACACGTGCTCAGGCTGGGCAGCCCATTGCCCCAGACTGAGGATTTATTGTGTGAATCTAAAGCTGTCCAGCAGACTTGATCAGAGACCTGAGGCTGAAGCACATGGTGTTTGATGCAGGAGACAGTGTCAAAACTGATTTTTGCTCTCCAAGGAAGTCTTACAAAATGTCACAGGTAACTCTGCTTTGAGGGCTCTTATCAAAGTGGGTTTGTTTGTTTTGGGTTTTTTCCCCATTTTTTTTTTTCTTTTGCTTGTAAATACCCAGTAAGTGATTTTTTGCTTTTCCAGTGGTGCTTGCCCCATCCCTGGCAGTTTGCTGGGCTGAGCTGGATGGGCCTGGAGCAGCCTGGAGCAGTGGGTGACATCCCTGTTCATGGCTGGGGCATGGAGCTGTATGGTCCCTCCCAGCCCAAGCCATTCCGTGCTCATGGGTGTGTGTTACAGCAGTAAATCAGTCTCCCAGTTGGTCTCAAACCAAGACAATGTGGCACCTCAGTACAGGTTTGAAGGGCAGTTTGAGATCCCTGTTTTTTTCTGGAAGCTGCAAGGTGCCTGGCCCACCTGTGGGGTCTGTGCATAGGGCTGGTCACGGCTGTGTGTCTGCAGCAGCTTTTGCCCCAGGTGCCCCAGCACTGCCTGGGGCACAAGGTCCAGCCCAGGCACCTGCAGGGACACCTCAGGTGTGGAGCTGGGACAGGGCATCCCACAGGGACGTGCGAGTTGGAGCCTAAACTTGGTCTGCTCTTGGAAGAATTGAGCAGGCTTGTGTCAGCCCTGGAGGGGACAACACAGTTTGGCCTGGGAAGAAAGGAAGGAAAGGCTTCAGAGGGAAATCAGTGCTGATCCCAGCCCAGGCCTGGCCTCAGTCCCTGCCACCACGGGCAGAACCCTCTCAGCCTGAGGAATTTCACTTGGTTTATTGCTGTAACACAAACTTTTAGTTACTGATTCAGGTACCGAGGAAAACCCAAGAGAACGACTGAAGAAACACCTGGGGAAACACCTTTCCTCTACTTTCCCAGGTTCAGCTTCAGTCCAGCATCTTTTCTCCCCTCTTTCCCTGCAGGTTCTGCCTAGTCTCTCCCAGTCCCTGCAGGAGGTGACCCAGAGGGCTGGGGCTGGGCTGGGCTTTGCTTTTCTCTTTGTTTCTTCCTCTTTCCTTCTTGTTTACTCCTTCATGGCACACCCACAGGCTGCAGTTCCTTGGGTGTGTGCCGGCTCTGGTGTCGTCCCTCCTTGGGCTGGTCTCTGCAGGGAGAAATGGGCCCCTGGGAATTTCATGAAGTTTCTAGAGGAAAATGGTGCCACGTCCTGCACCTGGGCAGGGATGTTTCCGTCTGCCAACACTCACGTGAGGGACCAGAGAAGCTGATGGCCATAGCCACCCCTGAGTCAGCAGTGCACCTCCATGGCCTGACAGCATCCTCAGGTGTGGGAGCCAGAGCACTTGCCCTCAGGTTACCCCCATCCCCTCCTGGGGCACAGGTACGGCCACATCTGCAGCATTGACACCAGTTTTGGACTTCCCAGTGCAAGACAGCCTGGTCAGAACTGGAGTCCAGCATGGATTGATTAGGACATCTGAGAATCTGACAGGTAAGGAGAGGCTGCAGGCTGGGGCTGCTCAGACTTAGGAGCTCAGTGGGGTTTATCAATGGGTAGAAAGCCCAGGAGTGAGCAGTGAAGGGAACCTCAGGTGTCCCAGGAATGGACACAAGGCAATGGAAACGACCTGAAAACTGGCAATTTCACTGAGACACAAAAAACACTCTTCTATTATTTTTATGCTCCAAGGGTGATAAAATAAGGTCACGAGCCCCTATGCCAAGGCAGGGCTTTGGCCTCAACACCCTCCAGAGTTCCTTTCTGTGCTCCTGGGCAGGTGTGGACCCCGGGGTGTTGCTGCAGTGGCAGGGGATGCACAGGGGCCACGTGGGCACCTGCGCAGCAGGTCAGGCCTCTCCTTCCTCCAGCATGGCCATAATTCCTGCCAGCCCCACCTGGGGGACTCTGTTGCTGTTCAGTATTTCCATCTCTGCAGCTGATCCCTGGATGCTGGGAATTTCAGACTTTCTGTGCTGACATGCACTGATCCCCAAGAGAACACTGCATTTGACCTGAGGCTGTGGAGAAGGCTTCCAAAATTGATTGATAGTGCTTGGATTATGGGTTTGTAGTTGGTTAGAAGTGTGTGATATCACAGGGTGGAAAACTTTAAGGTTTTAGAATATAGTAATATATGTAGA